AATGTCAAATGTGGAGTACACTCAATGGTTTAGTTAAAATTGCAAAGATACCCGTGAATGATTGTCATGTGCCAATTCAAAGAAGTCTGGCATAATGAAAAGCAGAGTGGAATACGGTAGATTTATCTGTCTGCTGTGCTGAACAGCCAAAAATGTGCCTAACACATACATCAGGACATCTTGCATGATTATATGTTGAGAGACAAATTTCATGTAAATATGGGCAAGGAAAAGCAATGAGCAACTATAAACATAGTGGAGAAGCTGCCAACAAAAACTGTAGATGTCATTTGCAAACCTACTATATATATATATAATTAACAACTTACCTTAATAACTTCATGAGCCATCGCATGGGTAACATTGACACTGCGCCCAAAACAGTCTCTGGCTTCTGATAACTTCCCCTCACGAAGCAATTGTTTCCCCTTCAGAAGATTAGCCTGTCGTTTCCTACAGGGTAATAAAACAAAAAAAACCACCTCCCTCAATATATATTATTATTATTATTCCACATTTACATACTACCATAGTTTGCATGACACTTCATGAAGGATTAAGATGGACATGGTTTCTTCTCCAAAAAGGTCAAACTATGTTACACAAAAGAAGAACATGAAGATATGAAAAGGCATAGGAAAAAGGGGTGCAAACAGATACAAATAATGACAAGTCATTTTGTAGTAATGCTTATAAATAGTAACACATTGACTAGAGACTGAGGAAGAAGCAGGCAGCACAGGAGTTGAGATGAACAGTGCAAAGTAGGGCAGAAGAAGAGGGTTTTAAAGATGGTTTCAAGGAGAATGAAAATGTTTCACACAAGAGGTTTGTGAGAGAGTTGTGTTTCCTTCCAGATTGAGTCCAATACCACAAATTGACTATTTCCCAGGTTTAAAGAGGCAAAGACCTCATGAGACTTAAAACTCCTTGGGGCAGGGACCATCTGTTTGTTCTGCATTTGAACAGCGCATAGCACAATGGGGTCCTGGTCCATGACTATGGCTCCTAGATACTACCAGAGTGCAAATAAATAATGAAAATTGCTAACCTAGCAATATTTGCAAAAATTCAGGACAAAATTTAATGACATCAGCTCACAAGATAACAGCACTATCAAATCAGAATCTGAACCCAAAACCCAGGCCCGAATCAAATCTTAATGTAATGCAGATTGAACAACAGCCTGTTGACCCATTACTAATAATTAAGGCTAAGTTTCAGTCATGGGTATTTTTAGTAAAAGTCATGGACAGGCCACGGGCAGTAAACAAAAATTCACGAGCCCATAACCGGTCCATGACTTTTACTAAAAATACCCCTGACTAAAACTTGGGGGGCGCCGCAGATACTGGAGAAGGGGGCGCAGGTGCTCGGGGGGGGGGGGTGAGTCACGGCCTGGAGAAGCAATGCAGGTGCTGCGGGGGAGGGTGCAGGCAGGCTCCCTACCCAGCCTAGCTCAACATGCTGCCTCCACTCCGCCCCAAGCTCCAGTTATGCAGCTCCCATTTGCTGGGAACCATGGCCAATGGGAGTTGCGGGGGCGATGCCTGGCTGTTGGCAGAGGTAGCATGTGGAGCTAGGGGAGCTGAGGGAGAGGAGTCCCCGCAGCTAAGCAATGGCCCCAACCCCAAGCCCCATACCTAAACTCCTGTTGCTGGGGGCCCCGAGACTGCCCCAGTAACAGCCAGCGCAACTGACCCAGGGGCTGCCCGAACTGTTCAGGCAGCTCCTGGGCCAGCTGCACAGGGCTACTGGAGAAGTCACGGAATCCATGACAAACACGGAGCCTTACGAATAATAACCAACTACCTGTACTGGCAATAAAATAATTCTACACTTCTGATCTCATTGCACAAACCAGAGGTATAACTACAGAAGGTGTTTCAACTTACAAGTTACTGAAAAGCTATTGCTCAAAATATCTGCTTTTTCCCCCATTTATAAAATATTCCAGTTTTTAAAAGAGAAGTTCTATTCTAAAAAAACCAAAACTCTCAACAGTATTTTGGTCCTCAGTGTTAAAATAATCATTACATCACACTGTAAGAAGCGTAGAAACTAAAGCAATCTTTGATAAGCCCAGCAAAATTACCAGTTTAAAAAATATGAAGCATAAGCACACAACTGGTATAATTTGTCTGCAAGTTGATCATTACTTACTCTCTTCGAGCTTTTTCCACTTCCTTTTTAGAAGGCAGGGTACATCCATCAAATACTAGAACTGGCTTGATCCCAAATGACAAGAGCATATCAACAAGTTTCAAGCAGAAGACTACATATCTGTAAGAATATATATATAGTTTCATATTACGAAGCGTGAAAATATCCATTGCTTGAGAATGAAACTTAAACCTTAAGACTACCACATATTTCTAACTTGCAGGAAAAACAAAAAAAAGTTGATGATAATTAGCATTCAAGGCTGTCAGTGGGTTAAAAACCTTTTTTTAAAAAAACGAATAGTACACACATTTTTTCTATGAAGGAGTCCTCCTTATGTCCTGTCTCCAGTGAAGCCCAGTCCACTATGAACATCATCATCTGTTATGCTGTTTATTCTTCTTTACAAATAATTGTGTGTCCAAAGAATAAGTTACACTTCACTGAAGTGCCAAATTGTACAGCATTTTGTAAACTATAGGACAGATCATCTCCCTGACGCCTGTGAGCTGAATACATGATGCTCAAACAGAGAGGGGATGCATATTGCATTATCCTTTCCTGAAACTCTGCAGATGACCTTCTGGTGGAGCTTTATGGTGAGTAAGGGGTGATGAAAGTGCTTACCATCTATGTTTGCCACTATCCACCCATCACTCCAGATGGCGGATAAATACTGGGATGCCTGTGCTAAAATGAAAACTACGTAAAGCATCATTAAACTTGGGAATTGGGACCTGTGCCTATATATACCCCCTCCCAGAGAAAGGAGAGGTTATTATGATCAAGAGCAGGGTATGACCTTGCCACAGAGCAGAACTAAGAACAGCCCTCAGATGGCAGGGAAGACAAAGCAGCAGCCCACCTTCACTGGTCCCCAAGCCCATCTTTTCTGGAGAAAAAGATTCGTGAGAGATTCTAAGATTAAAGATTCCCATGTTTCTTCAGTCCCCCAATCTCCTCGGTATTTCTATGGAAATGTACAATTTGGTCCAGTATGTGTATATAGGGATTATTTCACTTTTACAGATCTAGTTGCCTGTGGCTGAAAAGCAGCAGCCTTTACACAGAACTGAAGGCTATATTATTAAATATATTATTATTATTTTTGACAGTCATCTAATATTTTTCAAGTCTTAACTGACCACACAGTTTTTTCTAACACATAATATGGGAAAGTAGAGAGCAGCTTTTACAGTGTTATAGCTAGAAACACTTCTTCTGGTGAGATAGACACTGGAATAGCTGGATCATAAAAAATTGGACCAAAAGGAAGTGCTGTAATATTTATGAAAGTGGGGCAGGTCACATCAGAGCACGACAGAGGTTTCGACCAACACCCAAAATAAATCAAGCTTAGCCCAAACTGCCTAATTTTGACTCATTTCCAGTTTAAAAAAAAAAAAAAAAAACACTTACTTAAATAGATATTTCAACCTAAAACAAAAGCTTACCTCCAACTCTCCCAGAAGGTTTGTGAATCTTGTAAACAAATTCAAAAGCAGGCATATTTCTTTGGGATTCATTATAAGCAATGGACAATATATAATAAATAATACATGTTGTGCAGGGTACTTTTGTGCAGGAAGAGGTTGATCTCATTCACAATATGGGGTGCCAGAATTACTTAACATTGTTATGTCATTCTGCCACATAAGATTGTTTATGAGCGGTCATTTTTGTACCAGAGTACATACTGCCAGTGGCACAAGCTGCATTATAGCTGGGACACTTTTCATTTTCATACAGTAAAATATAGATGTTATTCATGAAGGGCACATTGAAAACACCTCTCCTGTCTGATTTTTAAAAAACTTACTCTTGATATAAGCAACACCAAAGACTGGGGGGGAATCTTTTTTTTCCAATGTTTACTTTGTGTATCTGACAGCGATTTGTATATGTAGACTCACTTTTGCTATTTCTCCATTTGTGCATGGTTATAAAACCACAAAAATGAAACCCAGTCAGTTTTTTTTAAACATAAGAGAGTTAAAAGCAGTTTCAAGTTGGCAGTGTCCCCTTACTTTGTTAAAAGGCTGAGAAACTCACAAAAATAAGTTAGGGAAAGCTTACTGGTCAGTGGGTTCTCCTTTGGCTAGCTTTTCAGCACAAGCATAGGCTCCTTTGTGCAGCCAGCAGTAAGTATCCACAGCTACCACTTGCCCTTTGTATTTCTTCACATGAGTGGGTTCCGCTGCCTCTTTGATAAACTGGAGCAGGCCGTGGATTCCCATGGTGCTGCTTAAACTGGAATCAGGAAAGAGGGAAAATGTGACACAAAACACGTTTGCTCGCCCTGCACGAGGTTTTCATCTTTGCACAGGGCCGATCGCACGAGATGGCGGGCAGGCGAGGCAGGGAAAGAAAAGCACCTGGGACCAGTGCAGCCTGCGACTGGCAAGAGAGCCACGGAGCACAGGGAGACCCGAGCTTCGGCCTCCTGCCCCAGCGCACGCAGGCCCGGGAACGACAGCCACGCCTCGATCCCGGCCGCGGGGGGCCCCGGCCGCTACGCCCCGTCCGGATCCCGGCCCCGTGTAGCCCCCCTTCATCAGCCCTGGGGCACCCTCGTCCCTCCCCCGACGGCTCGCCCCGTCCTCGGCACCTGGGGCTGTTCGGAGGAGCCGCGAGACGCTCCCTTCTTCCGGCTGGGCTGGCTCCGGCCGCTCAGCCGCCGGGCGCGCGGGAGCCCGGAGCACTTTCAAGCAGCGCGCGCTCCTGGCCTCGAGACTCCGCCCCGCCCCGCCCCCGGAGCCGCTCGAGCGCGGCCTGGCGACAGACGGCCCCTCCCAGCATGCCGGGCGCGGCGGAGCGTTGCAGGCTGGGATATGTAGTCCGCAGGGGGCGGGGTCCTGCTGCCCGGCAGGACCCCGGCCGGCTCGGGTACGGGCGGGGGCGCTGGGCTCCGGCCCTCCCGTGATGAGGGAAGGGCCGGCAGCTGGGGCCGGGTTGTCAGGCGCCCGCCAGCCCCACGCGGGGAGCGTGTGGAGCCTGGACCCCGCGCGGCCCCTAGGCTCGCCCGGGTGCAGGGAGGAGCGGAGCGTCCCGCGGCCGGGGCTTAGGGGGCCAATGTGCCCCACGCAGCTCCCTGCCCCGCTCCCCGCCCCAGCATCCGCGTTGTTCCCCTGCCTGGCCAGAGCCTTTCCCTAGCGCACCTAGGTACTTACTGCAGGGTGGGGGCAGCCTGCTCCTCCCTCCGCGGCGTGTAGCACCTTACAAGTGCTGCTAGCAGTGAAGACCCACACCTAGAAATAGCCCCAGGGCATTGGGTTAAGGGGTTGCATCAGCTCTCCCCAGGCACACACACACACACACACAAACACAAAAACCACTTGGACCCAGCAACGGGCCTGCAGGAGGTGGGCAACATTTTTCAAAAGCTGGGGGGGGCAAGGAATTTTTAAAAAATAAAAATGGAAGGGGATTGTTTATAAAAAAGTTGGAATTTTTCCTCCTTTTTTGACCAGCTCTCCTGCTCCTCCCAGGACCAGCACAAAATGTGGCCCATTCCAGACATCAGATCCACATGAGCACACTGGAGCTCCCCATGGCAGCTGAAGTCTGGCTGCACACTGCACAGATTGTGTTGTAGGATCAGAGCCTGAGACAGTACCTGCCCTAAGGATAGGAAAGAAATTTACAAAAAGGGTAAGTTAGCTTTTTGTCCATCAGCAGTTGGGGCTGCAGAGTAATGTGCACAAACTTGCAATCCTGAGGAGCAGAAACATTGACAGTGATAGAGTGATGTTTCCCCTATCCAGATGTCCACTTGTTGCTAGCACATAGAATCATATAATGCTAGGAAATGTTTAAAGGTGAAATATTAAGGAATTAAAACTTTTTAGTTATAACATATTATGGTCTTGTTTCTGAATTGGTTTTGAATCATGACTTCTACAGTTAATATTTTCTGAGCCACCATGTAAGATTTTTTTGAAATTTTCCAAGAGGGAAAGAATTTAAGTAAATAAAAATAGAGGAGGACAATGTAGAAATAATTGTTATCATTCGTGGACATTCATCTAGTACCTATAAAGGGGACAGACGAGGCCCTGCCAATCTTGCTCCCAACTCAGAGTTCAGAAGTAGAAATTTCCGCCACGCCCTCTAGAGGCAAAGACTGCAGGGGGACAAGAGAGGCTATTACAAGGCTTTTAGATACTTTCAGTAACTTAGATGTCCTCTCTACCTGTTTCTTACCCAGAATCTATTGTAGTGTTGCCAGCAGGATAGAAAAGCAGCATTAGGTCCGCACTAGTGGACTATGTTAACTGAGGCATCTGGACATAGGGACAGAATGAGGGGATGGTTTGAAAGAAATATTTTTTAAATTGTAGATTAAGATATGTAAGCCTGGTGTTTCACTTATGTTGCAGAGTAATAGTTTTTGTCTGATCTATGTCAATTGAAAGCTCATCAGCCAGCGACCTTCCTTCTTCATCAGAGCTGGGAGGAGTTCTGGTAGCCATGGTCCCTTGGAATAAGTTACTGATTGTGATTGCAGTATGTAACTTATTATAGAATCCTTGGCGTGATGGGTCCTTCCCAAGAAGTTAGAAGAGGTTTGGTATTTCAGTAAAAGTTTCTTGCGTGTACTCATTGCTCATTCTGAAACGGTTTTGTGGATTAAAGCTCAAACAAGTAATACTTATTTAAAATACAAGACTATGTATTTAATATGTTTTTCTTTAAAGTTAGGTAGGATCACATTCAAGTTTGAAACTCTCCGATTCCATCACTTTTTGTGTTATCTGAGTACAAATAAATGTTTGTTTTTTTTTAAAGCAAGGAAACAATTGCCCTCTCTTTGGGGAATACCCAGAAGTAGGGATAAGGTGCAGGTTTGTGTGTATGGCTTTTGCACAGATAATTGGGGATGAAGGGAGAGGGTTTTGACCACTGAAAAACAGAACTTGTATTTTTCATGGTAATATCAATTAATGCATATGAATGATGCAGTGTTGCCAACTCACTTGATATTTGGTCTGTTCCACAGCTCCTGGAGGCAAGTTATTACATGAGAATCTCAGCTTTCATTTTAAAAATATTAAATTTCTAGCCCTCATGAGTGCAGAGAGGAGTCTGAAAACATGAACTGAGGTTGCCCTAAATGGCCAAAAACCAAAAAGCAAAAAAAAGGATACAGAATGTATTGCCTTGAAAAAATCAGAAGATTCAAAAAAATAGCCTCATGATTTGTGGGGCCTGCGTCATGATTTTTGAAGGTTTACCATTGGCAGGTTTTGTGTAACTACCAGTCTTTTGTTTTTCCTTAATCAAATTCAGAGTCAGCATGCAGGAAAGATTGTGTCCTTTTTGTATTTAATTTCTATTTTTAGTTATTTGTTTTCCTTTGATACCAGAGCACATCTGTGTATTCTGGTATACAAAAGCAGAAGTTTTTCTGGTAGGTGTGAATTAAAACCAAAAACCACTGTAGGAGCAAAAATATATTCACATCTGTTACTTTTTTACAGTAACTGAAATGTTAAGAGGCTAAACAGTAGTGAATGAAAGTTATGCAAATCTTTTTTTAAAGATATGAATCATGAATTTAAACACATCAGCCGTCTGTTTTGTGGTATTTACAGATTATTAATTTTTTAAATTAATTATTACAATACAATGCCCTTTATGGGGTGGATATTTAATGGCAACTTTTTTCAAACTCGTAACTCTAGAGTGCAAACCGGTTCAGTTAAGACAAGGGATTTAACTGCAAAAAGGCATCTTCTGTAACTGTGACCTGCTGCTGAAGGCAGATTGTACACGACACAACACCTAACAAGACAGTTTTAAAGGTTATAACACATGTAACTTAAAAAGCATCACAGAGGATTGGCAGAATACAGACAGAGAACTCAGCTCTGCACTCTACCCAGGGAAAACACGTACTGCTTTTTAGGGAAGGAGTGGGGAGAATTCGACTCCGACTGACTGAAATGCCAAAGGACAGATACTTGCATTTACACCAGTGCAATTCTAGGCTAAGATATTTAAAAATGGGTGGCAAAAGTTAGGCTTCTAAATCCATATTTAGGCTCCTAAGTAATTGGCTTGATTTTCCAAAGTGCTGACCAGCCATAGCTCCTACTGATGTCAAAACAGTGAACTAATGATTTTTTAAGTCAAATCACAATGTCAAAAATGCATTTGAGTGAGATTTTTATTGCAATAATCTGCATATTAGGCTGTTATTCTAAAATATCTGTGCACTCATATGCTGGACCAGGACACGAAGTTAGCTATCTGCTTCTATCCATCTGAAGTGACATTGTATTCTTCTTTTCTATTTAATGGTTAAAATATACAGTCAGGCATTATTTGATAGCAAACTACTGCACAAGTACCATAGACCAGGACAGCAGGCGAGTTATTACATTGCACACCCTAATTGTTGCTCACCAGCACTACCTATAATGAAACCTATAACAGATACTAATTTACCTTAGTCCTAATTTTTCCTATCCTCAGGAGTTATGTATGCAATTCTTTGATAAAGGCACTGCTCTAGCCTAGCAAATTTGGAGAAAGGAGAGCAGGTATGTGCACATGTGGTCAGACAATGTAAATTTCACTGCATTCCCACAAAAATCCCCACAGCCTCTCCATTCCTGGATCTGATTCTCCAGTATCACTGGAATAGATACCAGGGTGCATGTGTTTCCAGCAGACAATGATGGCAACCTTGAAACCTAGTACCTGTTATCACTAACTTAGAATCACAGTTCGTTTCTTTTCTTTTTCTTTAAAAACAAAACAAAAAGGAACGGTAATTTATTTTAAACCAGTTTATTCAGCTACTATTAGAAACAGTCAGAAAAGTGGGTGTTTGAATCCTGATTGAGAGTGTGTTGGTTATAAGTCAATAGGAAGTGCAAAATAGGCTCCTTCTAATGTTTGGATTGATCTGGAGCAAAATCATAATGGCAAGATTGGTGGTGGGTGATTCAAATCCAGGCCCTTGCCTCTGAAATGTAAAAGGGTTTGTTTGGATGTTTGGTCCATCTTTAATTACAAATAAATAATAAATCCCTTAAATAAATAGCAGTTCTCATTCTCAAGCACTGCACAAACATGCCTAACACCATATATAATCCAAACTATTATGTTTCTGTCCATATTATCAGTGGCCATCCAGGCATCATGGGGCAGCACTCCATGTACTGTGGTGAATCGTGGAGATCTTTCTGGTTCCTATTTTCATTTCCTGCCACACCTCACTAAGAGTACCAGGCATGGCCTCTCCTGTCAGCTGGTTTCTCATCCCTACTATAGTATTCTACATACCAGCTTGCCTTCCTGAGCCCAGCCCTCTCTGGTCCAGCAACTTTAGACTGTCATATATATACTAAAGCAAGGCACTTCCAACACTGCTCCCTATGGAGACCCAGTAACCCATTGCTTCTATCCCTGCTTGACAGCCTGTACACTAGCCCTTCCAATCTCATTCCCCAAAACTGGGCCCAGCGGCCCAACACTCTAATCCTGCCCTAAGGATGCATTTGGTTATTCTGCACTTCTATCCCTTCAGGAGATCCAGGATCCCTGTGCTTCCAGTCCTAACTCCAAAATAGCCCCCCCAGTAAACCCACCCCAAACCTGGATATCAGCAGCTGTCTGCTTGTAAATCTACTGCTGTAAAGATCAACTTTGCCTCCTAATCCTAAAGCAGGTTCACAGAGCTTCCAACCACATAAAGCTAGATATGGCAACTTAGGCCTTCCAACGCCATATCCGAAAAGCAGGAATCCCCTTCTGTATGTCCAGCCCTGCGTCAAAGCAGGCAGTGTGTTTTCAACTCCTCCTCCACCCCCCACACTAATTGGTCCCCCAGTTACTGTGAGGAGTATTCTGTTACATTTATCCTCAGTGCTGTAGGAGTTAAAATCATGTGGACTTGATCTCTGTAGCACAAAAAACATTCTCAAGCATCCACTTTCAAGATTAATAATTTCTGATATAAAATTAGCAGTAGAAAGTGAGACAGCAACTTTGTGAGCCAGAGGTAAATGAGAGTGTAAAAAAATCAGCCTTGTAGTGTAGGGTTACTGCCTTCCATCTATATTTTTAGTGGTCAGTGTGTGAAAAACAATTGTTTTGCTTGATTTCTAAATCTTGTTCCTCTTATTCTCAGTCTGCTCAGTGTGTTTCTGCTGTTCCATTTATTTTTGGTTCCTATAGCAGATGGTACTGGACTTCTTAATGTAAAAGAAGAGAATAATTTATTTATTTCACATCGAGGCTCTATCCTCATATCAGTTTAAACTTCAAACAGCTACTCCAAGTTCTTGCACCAACGTAATACATGGAATAGGGGATCAAATTTTGCCCTCACTGAAATCCCATACAGTCAGTGGGGTTTCACAGGATATCCGTGGGGATAGTATTTAGCCCATAATTTGCTTTATATATTGGTCAGAATAAGAAAACTATGAATATGAATAATTGTCTCCCCTCTATATCTTTGGGACTCAAATACCAGGTCAGAGTCATATTTGGGCGAAAATATGAATCTAATCTGAGAACAGAGGCCGTTAAAAGTACCTTTCTATAGAGGTGTGCAAGGTACACCATTCCAGTGAAACCTCATATCAGGTGAACTTCATCTGGTTTCAGATTTCATTATGAACTCAAAATGCACTGAGGTTTGTTTAAAAGTTTGTCTATCGTTAACTGAACCCATAAAGAAGCAGCAGAATCCCCAAGTGTAATGAATGCCCAGACCAGCATTATTTGTTTGAAATCCAGGTCCAACAACATTTTAAGGTACCTAACTGAGATCCCATAACAGAAAAGCCTTCAGTACCACACAAAGTTAAGAGCTGGGTAGTGGTGGGTCATTTGGAGAATCTAAACCAAAGGGACCTGTCACTGTTTCATACCCAGTTTGGTCACAGCCAGTCATGGCATGGGACACTCCAAGTATTACCGGGGTGTCATGTGCTGGAGTTCACTGGATTTTTGCTTCTAGCTGCTGGTAGAAGGAGTCCCTTTCCACAAGCGATGAGTCTTTTTTTGTGTAGGTCACATTGACAGGTAAGTGTCCATGGTGATTTTGTAGCCCAGCATCGAGTAAGCATGGAGAGACGGGGTTCCACGTGGCTAAAGTCTATGCTAGAGGTTGTCTAGCAAGAAATGCCATACCATGAGTTCCGTGTGGACCATCAGAGTGGAGAAATGTAGCTTCTTCCCCAGTAACTTCATTGCTTTGTGGCAGACAGGCCTCTGCGATGCCGGCAATTACAATCTTGTAATGGATGGGCTCTTTGAGAAGAGCTGTCTTGCACCCTGAGTTTTCAGTGTGAACATGTTCCATACAACGACAGACTTTAAGGTCAGAAGGGACCATCGTGATCATAAACCTGTTACAAAGGTCTAGCTCTTCTGCCCTATGTGGTCCATGAATCCACAGTTGTGGCTTCCGCACATTGGGAAACTTGGCCCTTGTCTGCTGGGTCCATCACTAGCCTTTTCTCATTATCCTGAGCAGGGCCCTTAATGGGTACTACCAACTAGGGCCAGTGAGACCCAATGCTTACGTCGGCAGGAATAACAATACACTGACATAGAGCAGCTTATGCTGCCGCTACCTGTGCCAAATCATGATATTGTCTAATATGGCACAAATGCAAATTATTAAGACTAGTTTGCAGCAGAGGTAGGACCAAGACCCAGCACATCCTAGCTCCGAGCCCTGGACTTATTCCTCTAACCAACGCCTGTAGCTTTTTGAGGGGAAGGGCTCCGCTAGCAGTTTTTCTAAAATTCACAAGTTTGTAAATTGTTGAGGAGTAGTAGCTCTCAATTTTTCAAGATTGAAAAAAATACTTTGCTCAATTTTATTAGAAGACTTAGAAGATTTACAAAGTTGTTTCAATCTCACTGAAGTTTCAGACCTGAAAATAGTAAATGTTTTTCGTCAAAAAATGTTGCCTGTGACTATTTCACCCAGCTCTGAGCCTTTGGGACCTCTATCCCTTTTTGCCTTTCTGTGTTTTCTGCGTCGAAGGCCTAGTAGCCTGCCACCATCCACTCACCATTCTGTGAGTCTGTGACAGAGCCCTCCCCTTCCTCAATTCTTCAGTAACACTTTCCTGTAGAACTTCCATGAAGATTAATGAAATATGAGGCCATATCAGTTCTGTCCAGTCACACTAAAGGAGTGCATCTATCTGTCTCTCCCATATATGCATTCCTCCCACCGCTTTGCTGTGAGGGAGGTTAAACCAAAACTGGCTAATCTTCAGCTACAGTTATTTTAGCAGCAGCTGAAAACTGCCTCATGATAGAGCACCAGAGATTTTTTTCATCCTAGTTGTAAAACCTCTTACAATACGCGTTTTGTTTTTTCTTTAGGTACTGATACATTACATGTTACCAAACTCAGACCCCGGCTGAAAAAAATGTGGTGGTAGCATGTTTGCATTTTGTATTTGACCCTGAAGCCACTTGGAACCAGGGAGATCATATTTGGCCACAACCATTACACTGAATACCAAGTGGGCAATATATGAGCCTGATTATTTCTGTCCCGCATGGTGGAATAGTGAAACCTGAAGACATCCCTGATTGAGATGCTGGTTTCTGTGATTCAAACACATTATTTTGTATTTTCTCTCATAATTGTCTTCCAGGAAGCTTTCAAGACGTTCAGAAATGCAAGGTGGATACAAATCAGGACAAGAATAGAGATTGTTTGGACCCTTGCTAAAGGAATCAGAATCCTTAATGGTAATTTCTCCCCATATCTTCTTATAAATTATCTCCAGAGGATCAAGTTGGATGCCAACAGGGAAAAGGAAGAAGATCCCTTTGAAATTCCCCAAGCAGAAAAAGCCTGGGGAGACTTTATAAAGTTTATGAGATCAGCAGAATTGCAGATGATAGGAGGCCTTCTTGTAGATATCCATGGATAAACGCACCCTGGGCAATGGATAGAACTGGGTTACACCCTTTCAAAAGCATCATTCAATTCAGGGAAGTTTTCTACACCAGGCTCTTCTATTTGCTATCTTGTAAACCAGGTGCACAGTGTTTCTTTTGAGATTTTGCTCAGAGGATCTAGAAGCTTGGGTAAGTTTATTGAAGTGCAGGAGAACAAATGGTACCTTTGTGTTCCTTCTCCAACAAACACCAAGCCAAAACCAGGGGTTATTATAGTGGAGGCTATATCACTAAGACGTTTGGGTCTAGGTATACCAGCACTGTCGATGCCATTCAGATTGAGTATCCCAAGTTTTGTAAAGCTGTAGAAAGGGCTATAATAAATTTCTGGCAAACTAACTGCAGCAGCCAGAGAAATTATAAGCTTCTGGGATGATAAAAGAAACAGGCCTGTGTGTTAGCATAGCTACTTTACAAAGTATAACAATTGGTCTGATACACAGGAATGTGGATTTCCATTTGGCTTTAACATGTTTGGAATTCTTTAGGAATAAAGCAGTGGGGACAGTGAAGGAAAAGATCTAGAATGCAAACAAATGGAGTTCCAGTGATAAAAGGACAGTAATCTGTATTGAAAACCCATGGCTAATATCAACAAAGGAATTAATAAACCAGTGCTTATTAGTAGATCCCATAAAAGAGACTGGTAACCTCAGTGATGCCCAGGCCAAACTGAGTGAGCGTAGCTGTATTTCACCTACCTACCTACTACATCACTACTTTATCTTGCTGAAGACATATTTGTAGATTCTGGTAATTTTGGTACAATTCCTCCAAATGACATGGACCCTCTCTGACACCGATCCATACAACTGTTCTGCAATGAGTGTTAGCAGAATCCTGAGCTCACTGAAGACCCTTGTGGAAGTTCCCACTGGCTTTAAAGAGTACAGGATCAAGCTTTTTCGTACTTGGGTTAAGAATTCAATGCTTACTGTCGTGATTGTGGAGCAGAGAGAGAAGCAATTCTCTCATTTCCAATCTGTAGAGAAAAAGGTCTAGAATACAATGAACTACAATATTCCTGCTAAAGAATTATTCTGTCTGCATTGTGCAATGCATAGATAAAATGCTAAAATAGTCTTTATTGAAATGAAGTATCTGTCTCTTATTAAGAGTATTTTAAAACAGTTAGGTCCTTGTGCTGTTTGTCAGACAATGTCTAATTTTGATAATATGAACTTCATGTAGACTCTCTGGGATGGAGATCATCATTTTATTTTTTATTTGTCCAGTGCCTGGCACAATGGGGTCCTGGTCCATGAGTGGGGCTCTTAGGTGCTATTGTAATAGAAATAACTGCACTTACCCAGCTTAGTCTACTGCTGGTTTTACATTGATCAAAGAAGCAGCTTCTTGAGCCGTACCCAAACTATGCAGTGATCCTGTTAAAGCTAAGCAGCTGTGGGCTGGGGTTAGTACTTGGATGGAAGATCTCCAAAGAAAGTACGTGTGCTGCATGAAATAGCCGGGATGATTCTGTACATAGCATTCTTCCCTCTCAGAGCCTGGACCATCACCGACTGAAGTCAGTGGAAATCATTCCATTAACTTCATTCAGCACTGGATTGAGCCTTTAGTCAGTACTGCATATAGTCAGTATACTGCATATACAGCCTTTAGTCAGTACTGCATTGTTAGAGAAGGGCCACGGTGCCACTGGGAGTATCATCAACAAATGGAACAATGGGGGAGCTGACAGCAATCTGAGTACAAATCAGCATTTAGGAAATGCAGACAATAAGTTAAGCTAAAAAGTCTATGGCCAGTAAGAATAAAAGGGCACTAACAAGAAATTTCTTAAATCAGGAACAAATGAAATCCTTGTAGGGTACAGGTCTGATACTAGATAAAGATAGTAAAATGGTTAATCATAAGACATGTATTCAGTAAATATTTCCATTCTGTAGTTGGAAAGAAGCAGGATGATGTCATATTTTACAACAAAATTCCAAGGATGATAAAATAGTTATTAAACATCGTGAAAGAAATAGGAGTAGATGACTTGCACACAGAAGTATCAAAAGAATTGGCCAAGGAAGTCTCTGAACCATGAATGTGAATTTTTAACACATCTTAGAACATGGGGGAAAGTGTTAGAGGACTAGGAAAATACTAATGTGCCAATAACTTAAAAGTGTAAATAACCCAGGTAACTATAGGCTGGTGAACTGGACATCAGTTCTGGGCAAATATCATGAAAGGGCTGAGATGTGATGCAATTAGTAAATAATTAAGAGATGGTAACATATTTAATGCCAACCAGCAAGGTTTGACGTAGGTCTCAAACAACAGTCACACTGTTTTTTGATGAGTTGGCAAGTTTGGTTGATAAAGGTAACTGCTGACATAAGAGTTCTGTAAGGCATTTGACTTAGTCCTGCATGACATTCTGATCAGAAAACTAACACTATACAAAACCAATGCAGGCCACATTAAATGGATTAAAAACTGATAGATCACAAAAAGTAATTGTAAATTGGGACTTGCCATCCAATGGGAGCGTTCCTAGTGTAGTCCTGCAGGAATCTGTTCTCAGCCCAGTGCTAGTCAATATCTTTATTAATGATCTGAAAGAAGATATTAAAACCTTGCTGGAAAATCTCACAGATGACAGGGACCAGCCTGGATCACTTGGTAAAGTAGGCTTATTTGAACTATATGAATTTGAGCACAGCCAAATGAAAGGTCATACATCTAGAAACAAAGAATGCGGCTCACACTTCTAAGATGGAGGACTATTCTGGAATGCAGTGACACTGAAGAGGCCTTAGGGTGTCATCATGGTAGACAACCAATTGAACATGAGTGAATGCCATCCACAGATGTGTAAGCAGGGAAATACCAAGCAGGAGTAGGGACATGGTATTACTTCTGCATGTATCATTAGTGAGACTGTTCTATAAAATGATGAAAGGTGTCATAAATATAAAGGGAAGGGTAACAACTTTTATGTATACAGTAATATAAAATCCCTCTTGGACAGAGGTACAGAATCCCCTTACCTGTAAGGGGTTAATCAGTTCAATTAACCTAGTTGGCACCTGACCAGAAGGACCAATGGGGAAAGAAGATACTTTCAAATCTGGGGCAGGAGGGGGAAGGCTTTGTTTTTGTGCTCTCTCAGGAGACAAAGAGAGAGACCAAGCAAGTAATCCAGCTCCTACTGAATGATACATCTAAAATTACAGGACTAGTAGGTAATATCAAGGAAATGCATTAGAGTATCTTTTGTTTTAGCTTGTGAATTTTTCTTATGCTTAGAGGGAGGTTTATCTCTGTTTTTTGTAACTTTAAAGTTTTGCCTGGAGGGGAATCCTCTGTATTTTGAATCTGATTACCCTGTAAAATTACCGTCCATCCTGATTTTTCAGAGGTGCTTCTTTTACTTTTTTTTCCCTTTATAATAAAGTTCTGTTTTTTTTTTTTTTTTAAGAATCTGATTGGTTTTAGTGCCCTAAAAACCCAGGGATTTGGTCTGTGCTCACCTGTACCAGTTGGTGAGGATATTATTCTCAAGTATCCCAGGAAAGGGTGTGAAGGGGCTTGGGGGAATATTTTGGGGAACAGGAACTCCAAGTGGTTCTTTTCCTTGAATCTTTGTCTAACTCACTTGGTGGTGGCAGCGAATGCCATGCAAGGACAAGAAGGGATTTGTGTCTTGGGGAAGTTTTAATCTAAGCTGGTAGAAATAAGTTTAGGGGGTCTTTCATGCGGGTTCCCATATCTGGACCCCAGAGTTCAGGGTGGGGAGGGAACCCTGACAAAAAGTCCGGTAAACATGCCTTATAATGAGAGGTGTTTTGATCACACTGTACAAGGATCTACATGGCTAAGAGATTTCTGATAGGGGATCCCTCTTTAGCAGGAAAAGGCATAAGAAGCTGAAGCTAGGCAAATTCAGAGTAGAAATGAGGCATACTTTTTTTTAAACACAGAGTATAATTAACCATTGGAACATAGTGGATTCTCTGTCACCTGAAGTCTATAAACAAGACTGGATGAGTTTCTAAGAGATAGACTATAGCTCAAATAGAAATTACTGGGTTAGGTTATTTGGTCTGGGTCATGCAGAAGGTCAGACTAAAGACCTTAATCTATTAATCTTTTGATCAAGGTATAAAATAAAATGTAGTGTCTTATCCACTTTTGATTAAGTTCCTACAGCATGTTTCTTAAGGAAATGGATGTTTAAACTGGGATCTTGGACCATATTTATTTCTGAGCAGTTCTAATTTTCCTTGTAGTGTCTTTAGATATGGTAAAAGTAGATTTATGGCCCATATTGTGCCATTATGTTTTAAGCAGAACTCCTCGCTAATTTCAGTGGAGATTACTAAACACAATACAGCCCTTGTTATTTTATAGTGTTGTTAAACAGGTGCTGTATTTCATGCCAAAGGTAGTGAACACTGTGCAGCTCATAAAGCACTTCAGGATGAAAGGTGCTATATTAATGTAAGATATTATTTCTGGTGCCAGAAAAGGGCTGGGCTTGCTTTTTAGATAGAAAAAGAGGATACTACACAAGAAAAAATTTACCATAAAACATTTTAATTTTGCTGTACCACAGAGGAGTAAAGGAGGCTGGAATTTTGATTTTAAAACAGTATCTAGTTTAAATAGTTTTTAACTCTCAACACTATTCATTGGGTTATCAGTTTTAGAGCTTGCCTTCAGGGTACAATCATCTGGAGGACAGGAAAGCTATTTGGTAGGTTTACGCTCATCCTGTAATGGAGGTGGGTAAGACATTTAATTAACACAAAAATCAACTACAGATTGTTAATAGAGTTGCTCTCTAATCTGTCATCTTCAGCTATCACATTGGTTTCAAACAAACAGCTACATGCAAGGGCATAAACAGTAGTTTTGAGCACCCAAAAATATGCTATGCACTTCACAAAACAAGCCCCATGGAGCTTACAATTTAAAATTGACAGAACAGTGAGGGTCATAAATAGAAAAGATGGGTGTGGTGGGGAAAGGAGGACTTTTACTAAGTCTCCATTAACCTTTCTTTAAACATGCCTAAGATTCTGTAGATATGGCTTGTAATATATACAGTAAAGCAAATAAAGCCATTGGGGTCAAATACTGATCTCAATTACATTGGTGTGAATCTATGGATTTACATAAGTGTAATTAAGGTCAGCATCTGTCCTATAAATCTGACTGTACCGGGGAAGTAAAGGAATTTTAGTCTGTCGATAGGTCTGGTTATCCTGACCAAAGATAATTTTTGGTATTACTGGGTTATTTCAGAGGGGTAGCTGTGGTAGTCTGTATCCACAAAAACAAGGAGGAAACCAGTGGCACCTTAAAGACTAACAGATTTATTTGGGCATAAGATTCTGTGGGTAAAAAAAAAACCCAAAGAATCTGAAGAAGTGGGCTTTTTTACCCATGAAAGCTTATGCTCAAATAAATCTGTTAGTCTTGAAGGTGTCACCAGACTCCTCGTTGTTTTTGTGGGTTATTTCAGTTATTGGTCAGCAGCCTGGTGGATGAGCCAGGTAGCATTAACAAACAAATCCTTAGGGTTTTCTTTTTTAAGATCTCTAATTAACATACACACAGATTGCTATTTCTGGGTCAGCTGAAAATAATGGCTTGACATTTTCTAGGAATGTAGTCAAAGATTAGTCATAAAGAGGGAGCAAAAGAAAGATCATATGCACCATCATGTCCTGACCACATAAACCCAGAGAGCTTCTGATCAACCCATTTCACATTATCTTAGCCTATTTATCATCTTTCCTCTAGCCTCTTATGTCTGCTGGTGAATCTGGCAGTTGATTCCATGCGCTAAACAGTTTTTCTGCATGAAAAGTTTTTCTGACTTGATTGGCTTGCTCCACAAACTTGTCTGTAATTCATCACTGCCCAAAGTTATACAGTGACCTGAAACATCCTTAAGTTAGGTTTAATAGTAATCGCTGCAGAAAGATCAAGAAGCCAACTTTCCCTTCAAAATCTGCACTTATCTGAAGCTAAAATAGATCTGACCCTAAACTTGTCTTCCTAATCTCAGAAGACCAGATTCAACCATGCAAGTGCAACTCACATGGAGGTTAATGGGAGCAACGCCTTACGCAAGAGCTGAGTTTGGCTCAGACCTCTGGTAACAGAGGTTGTATTTGAACAGGAGCCACTGCTGAAATCTCCTGATTTGAAATGTGTACTAATACTGTTAAAAAGAGAATTTACTTTTTATTGGAAGTGCTGGATTGGCAGCCTGGAATA